GAGGGAGGGAGGGAGGGAGGGGGAAGAGAGAGAGAGAGAGAGAGAGAGAGAGAAAGAAAGAGAGAAAGAAAAAGAAACAAAGAAAGAGAAAGAAACAAAGAAAAGAAAGAAACAAAGGAGTCCTTAAGGCCACCTGACTGAATGCATGAAGCAAAAACAGACATTAGTGCTGTGGATAACACTCTTGTACACAGTAAAGATTTGTCACTTGAATTGGCTGAGTAAAACCTGATTGGCCAGTAGCCAGGCAGGAAGTATAGGCAGGGCAACTAGACTAGGAGAATGCTGGGAAGAGGAAGGGCAGAGCAGGGAGTCTGTAATTAATAGTAAGCCTCTTTGTGTTTATTTGGGACCAAGAGGCTGCAGGACACAAGAAAAGTTCTGTTGCCTGAGCAGGACTGGGTGGGACCAAGAAACTTCAGTCTACACATTTTCGACCAACACCTTCTCAAAGGACATGACCAGCTGTGCCCACAAATGGAAGCAGAAGTAACAGTCATTACAAACAAAGTGTGTTTGGGCTGGAAATTGAAAACAAGCTTTAAAAACAGCACTACAAAACTCCTTAACTGGGAAAGGGGATGTGAACAGCCAGGATGGGGAACAGTGAGAATCTGTGTCTTGGACAAGTTCATGAATGAGCGTCCTGTTATTCAAGGGGAGAATGGTGTAGGGAGCTGGGAAGCCATTCATATCTTTGATCCTGTAATTATCCCCAGGAGCACGCCCCTCGGGTGCGGAGTAACTGTGAATGTGCACAGCAGGGTTCCTCATCAGAGGAACTGGCAGGGAGGCGGTGTCATCTGGTGCAGCCACCCTCAGGGACCAGAGAGTTCTGAGGAGAGATGGTGATGTGGGTGAGACTAGTGGGTGTGTATGCACAGACCCCTCCATGCTCCCCGAAACATCCCCAGTGTCTGTGGAGCCCGGCCACTGTCCCGGCCAGTGGTACTGCTGAAGAGACTCCCTTTCAACACAAGCCTTCAGCTCTGAACTCAAATGTCATCTCCTCTGAGAAGCCTTCCTTGACTCTACCGCGTCAGAGTGGGCCAGGCCTGGGCTTCGCCTCTACAGCGCCATTATTCTTTTGGAATATAATTCTTCTCTAGTATGTGTTTTAAATCTTTAAAAATTGCATTATTAATTAACTTCCTGTTTGGAAGAGGCCACACGTGTGCCACAGTGTGCGTGTGAAGGTCAGAGTTCCTTTCTACCACACAGGGTCACACTCAGGTCACACTTGGCAGCGAGCACCTTTGTCTGGCGATCTATCTTATAGCTCCCTTTGTTTCTGTTCTTTCTTTTTTATTTTATTATGTATACCGTGTTCTGGCTGCATGTATGCCTGCACCAGGTCTCATTACAGATGGCTGTGAGCCACCATGTGGTTGCTGGGAATTGAACTCAAGTCCTCTGGAAGAGCAGCCAGTGCTCTTAACCTCTGAGCAATCTCTCTAATGTGTGTGCTTGTGTGTGTGTGTTTGCATGTTCATGTTTGTGTCCGTGTGGGTGGTCATGTGTGTGGAGGCTGGAGGACAGCTTGAGGTGGCACCCTTAAGAACCTTGTCACCTCCTTTGAGGTCGAGTCTCTCACTGGCCTGGATTCAGTCCTGTGGCTAGACTGGATGGCCAGCCTGTCACCAGTGCTGGGTTACAAGTGCTCTGCTCCGTCCAGGTTTGTGCTTTTGAGGCGAGCACTTCGCCGCCCGTCCCAGCCCCAAATCTCCTTTTATTGTGTGTTCTCACTGGGTGGCAACTCTCACGTGGGTGGGAATTCTGCCTCTGTCTTGTGCTGAACTCAGCACGCAGGATGCACCCAGCACCCATCCCGACTCAGCGACCAGTGACCCCAGACCGACATTCTAATCTGAACATACCAATGCAACCTTACATACAACATCATGTGTGGAAAAGTCCGTGTTAGCGCTGGGAAGACTTGGGACTCCAGAGAGTTGCCCTCTGACCTCAGGAACAGCACTGGAGCATGTGGGACCTCCCCAACACATCATACACAACAAAACAATAAATAGAAATGGAAACATCTACATTATTTCCTGTATAGAATTGTGTTTCAAAATACAGTGTGATTCCTTTACTGTGTGTCTATGTGTAATGTGCAGTGAGGGTGGAGGTCTGAGGACTATGTGTGGGAGTTGGTTCTCTCTTCACCGCTGGGTATCTAACGCAGGTCACCAGGCTTAGTGGCAAGTACCTTTACCTGCTGAGCCATCTTGCCTGCCCACAAAATTGTTGTTGTTATTATTATTATACTTTAGAAAGTCACACCATGTGACTCTTGTTATCCTGGAACTCACAGAGATCCATATCATGGGATTAAATGATTGCACCACCACACCTGATCATACAAAAGCATTTTTAAAGGAGTCTAAAATTACCTTTAGTGTCTGTGTATGAGAAATAAATAAATGTTCTGTTTAGACTTTGGTCCCACATCTAAGACATGACTCATATATATATATATACAGGAAATATTTCCAAATCTGGAAATGCCCAGAATCTGAAACAGTTTGGATGCAGAGGTTTTTGTTTCATTATGTTTGTTTTTGAATCGGTCTCACTGTGTAGTCCAGCTGGCAGGGAGCTCAGTATCTAGCCCAGGCTGGCCTCTGACTCACAGATCCAGCCGCCTCTGCCTCCCGAGTGCTGACATCAAAGGCATGCATCACCACGCCCTGGTATGCAGAGTATTTCGGAGTATGGACACCCAGCCGTAATGGACTTAGCCAAGGTAACTAGGAGCCTGCTGGAGCTGGATGTAAATGAGTCAAGTCTGGACTTATGCCTACAGTAAAGAGATTTATGGGGCTCATTTAGTTGAGACATTACAATATTAGGAGACAGGACCCAGCCAGGTATGATAAACAAAACCAAAAAACCAAAACAGAAGGGGTAGGGTCGCTATTTTCATCATACCGTACCTCCGGGACACTGGCACACCCAGCCGCCCAGCTCTAGGTCTCAGCCTCCCATTCCTGGGTGACGGACAGTGACTGGTACAGAGGTGGCACTCACCCACAGACGCAATGTCAGCCAGCTGGTCCTCGGCCTCCTCAGGGTTGAGCAGGTCCGTCTTGCTTTTCTTCAGGGTAGCTCTCCGCAGAGCTCCAACAAGGGAAACATGGCGAGAGAAGACGGCATTACCCTTTTATGCCAGGGTGGCAGCAGACACAGCGTACTGCCGTGCCCACTGGTCCACAGCATGCCCACTGTAGTCATGTGCGAGCCACCACTGGGGATGGCAGGGGGTCCAGACAAGAGTCCAGTGCTGTCCAGCTCTAATGCAAAGTCCAGGCTCAGAAACACTGTTGTCAATCTGGTCAGTTTTTACTATTGAAGTAACATTACTATTGTATGTGCACGGGGACTTTGCCTGCATGTATGTCTTGCAGCACACGTGTGCAGTGCACACAGAGGCCAGAAGAAGGCATCAGTTTCCTCAGGACTGGAGTTACAGAAGGTCTATAATGACCTACTATGTGGATGCTGGGAAACTGAACCAGGTCCTCTGGAAGAGCAGCCAGTGCTCTTAACTGCCGAGCCACCCCTCCAGCCCCATCTGTTTTTTTGAGATAGGGTCTCACTACGTAGCCTGGCTGCCCTGGAACTCACAGAATTCACCCGCTTATGCCTCTGGAGTGCTGAGATTACAGGCGCACATCACCATGCTGGCTCTGGTCTATTTTAAATTCAGAGCAGGGTTCACTTCCTAGAAGTCCTGGGACAGGAGGTTTAGTCCATCCTTAACCTAGCACACATGTGCTGGACTGGCTGGGGCTGGGGCAACTGTCTGGTGCCAAGGCTTGCCAGCGGATATACGCTCTGACAGAGACTTAGAACGCCCACAGGGAATCACTTTCTACTCCTAAATAAAAGATCCAGGGTTCTTGATTTCTTTTTGTCATCTTGCTATTTAAAATTTTTTCCCTAATTGTTTTTGTTGCTACACAAAATAGTCGTTTTTTAAGAGAAGATTTAAGAAGAAATCAAGTGCACGAGAATGGCCAGAAGGGGGGTCAGATCCCCTGGAGTTAGAGAGACAGGTGTCCTGAGTCACTTGATGTGGGGGCTGGGAAAGGAACCTGGGTCCTCTGGGAGAGTGGCAAGAGCTCTTCACAAGAGCCATCTCTCCAGACGTCCCGCCACAGCAGGACATTTCCATACAGCTGTGACACTGCTCAGATCCACATCTGCCCTCTACTGCCTCCCCTGAACTGCACACACTGGCAGGTAGGGCCGGGACTAGGAAGCAGCTGAGCTGCGGGGATCTGGCTGGTTGGAGTGGACCATATTCGTCAGGGACAGTGGGTGGACACTCATCTATTTTCTCTCTCTCTCTCTCTCTCTCTCTCTCTCTCTCTCGGCTGTCATGGCAGTGCTGAGGGTGAAACCAGGACTATATGCAAGTCCCTGTCACCAGTCTGCACCTCCAGCCAGGAGATGGAACTCTTCCTCTCATTATTAGGAGAGTGTGTGTGTGTGTGTGTGTGTGTGTGTGTGTGTGTGTGTGTGTGGTTCTGGGGATGGAACTCAGGCCACTAAAGCTTGGACACAGATGCCTTCATCCACTGAGCCATCTCACCAGCCCTATTATGTCCACTTTATGGAACGGAAAACAATGCTGGGCACACAGTTAAAGGGGGAAAGGGGAAGTCAGGAATGGAACCTGCCACCACCACCCCCTGTCCACCCTCACCCCCACCCCGCCTCCAGGTTCTGAAATTCCTCCCAGAGGCCCATTCCTCAGTCACTCAAACCTCCTTGCACAGCCCAGTCTCCTATCTTCCTGGCCTGGCCTATATACCCTCTAGAACCAGTCGCCTGCGCCCAGCTCCAGCCAACCCCACTCCCCTGGGATCCGCCTTCATGCTGGGCTCAGAGCAGTTACCATCAAAAGGGTGCCTCTGCTCCACGTCTGTCTCGTCCTCTGCGAGGATCACCTCTTCTGAGGAGAAGAACAGAGTTAAGGTCCTGCCTGAAGCGTTTTCCAGGGTGTTGACCCTCAAGGACTGTGAAGAAAGGACCCCTGGCCACACCCACCGCCCCTGGCTAACTGTACAGTCCGACCAGGCTGACCCAGGCGTTTGGCAGCTTCCTGCATCCTGGCTTTACCTGGCAGAGGGCACAATTGGCAGCAGAAGTAGTTTGGATGTGATTTAGGCATAGCTGGGCTTCACACTGTGGGACAGTGCTTTGGGGAGGCGGGACTTTAAGAGGCAGGTCCTCAAGTTATACAATGTGAGCCCTTGGAAGGAGTTATAAGGCTCTCATGTGACATCTGAGCTCTTTGCACAAGCCAAGTGTCAGGGCAAGCCTGTCCCAGCTCCACCATGTCCACCACAGATCTAGAGTCGTCACCAGGCTGAGTCCCTTTGGAGCCATGACCTCGAACCTTAGTTCTGTGGTCAGATGGGAAACATTTGAACCCTTGGTCCCCAGATGGTGGTAGTGTTTGGGAAGGCTGCCATGGAGGAAGTGAGTCACTGGGGGGTGGGTCTTTAGGCCTACAGCCAATCCCCACATCTTGTTCTGGTTCTGCTTGCTTGCTGAGTGTGAATGTCACGTACCCAGCCAGCCTCCTGCTCCTGCCCTGCGCCTCCCCTTCCTGCTGCCATGTCTGCCCACCATGACAGACTCTACGCTCTGGAGATGTGAGCCAAAATAAACCCATTCTCCCTTAAATCGCTTTTATCCCAGCAAGAAGAAAGTAACAGACATTCAGAAACTGTTCATGTTCGCCTCCACGACGTTGTCTGCCTCGGGTACTTTGTTATAGCTACATCTGGATTACCACAGCAGCATCAGCTCCCCTCAGTCTGCCGGCCCTGCTCCATCTGGCCTGCCCCTCCCCGTTCCTCCCTCCCTCTTCTCCAGGGACACCAGTTTTTTCTCTTTCTGCTCCAGGGCCTCTGCACTCGCTCCTGCCCCTTCTCTGACCTCTCTCCCACTCGGCATCCCCAGAGCTGCATTTCATTTCCTGTCAGGGCGACCTTAGCTGTCCACCTGACCCCAGATGCTCCCCACCAGCCACCTTGCCTTTTCTCCCCGCCATGTCTGTGTGTGAGACGGTCTCACTGTGTATCCCAGGCTGGCCTCGCACTCCTGATGCCCCGGCTTCACCGACCAGTGCTGAGATGACAAGCGTGTGCCATCCTGCTCATCTTGTTTTCCTTCCTAGCTCTTGGTGGGGGCCTTGTCTCTCACTAGCCAGCAGCAGGGATTTGCCACATTCTCAGTGTGTACTGTGGTGCATGGCACAGAGCAGGTGCCTGGTAAATAAGTATAGGCCTGCTGACTGTCAGTTGCTGCTCTGAGCATCTCAGCTCGGTTGTCTTATGGAATCCTCAACAGCCCTGTGGGCAGGTGGTCCGCTCCCCACAGACACAAGTTCTGCCCCCATGGATTGAACCCAACACAGACCTGAAACACTTAGACAAAAATGCATCTATATGTCGTGGGATATTAGTTTAAGATGTCTTGCATTCTTTCATGTTGCATTTGTTTAACTCTGCCAAGCTGTGTTACTTTGCCCGTCTAAAACACCTGATTGGTCTAATAAAGAGCTGAACAGCCAATGGGCAGGCAGGAGAGTGGGGTAGGTGGGGCTGCCAGGCAGAGAGAACAAATAGGAGGAGATATCTAGGGAAAAGAAGGGGGAGGAGCAGGAAAAGGATAAAGAGAGGAAGGCGCCAGGGGCCAGTCACTCAGCCAGCCATGGAGTAAGAAGGGAAGAACAACATATAGAACAAAGAAAGGTAGAAAGCCCAGAGGCAAAATGTAGAAGAAGAGAAACAGGTTAATTTAAGTTAGAAAAGCTGGCTAGAAACAAGCCAAGCTAAGGCCGGGCATTCATAAGAATAAGTCTCCATATATTTATTTGTCAGCTGGGTGGTGGGCCCCAAAGAGAAAAAAAAACCAACCCAAGTACATCTATACCTAACATTTACAGACATTTTTCTTGTCATTCCTGACAATACACAGCTACCTTAGGCACTGAGTTACTGTGAGTCAGAAGAGCCCAGGGAGGTGGTGCAAAGGCTGTACAGATAAAATAGTCATTCTCTGTACAGGGCCTGGGTATTTGCTGGTATTAGTGTCTATGGGGTCCTGAAGCCAATCACCCAGATTGTCACTGGATTACTTCATCCTCATTACCTTCATTTAACAGTTAAGGAAACTGAGTCACAGGTGATTTACAGGGCTAAGAAGAGTTGGAGATGGGACATACACCCATGTTGTTTTAAAACGTGACCAGGGTAAACCAGGTGTGGCAGAAGCAGGAGGACCAGGAATTCAAGGTCATCATCCTTGGCCAGTTTGAGATTAGTCTGGGCTACGTGAGACCCTGTCTCAAAAACACAAAGACTTCATCTCAAAGTGGCTTTTCTTTCTTTCCTTTTTCTTTTTAGTGGGTCTCACTATAGCCCAGGTTAGCTTCAAACATAACCTTCCTGTCTCAGCCTCACATGACAGTTGGTTTCTAGGTCAACTTGCCACAAATTACTATCATTTGCGTGGGAAGCCTCACTTGAGGAAATGGTGTGGGAAGAATAGGGTAGCAGCCCAGACAACGAGGAGAATCAGGAGGAAGGTTATCTGGCCTCCTCTCTCATAGGAATCAATCTTTTCGTTGGCTGCTGCTGGTTCCTTCACTGACATCAGAGCCAGCGTTTCCGGGCTCCCATCCCTGACTGAGGACAAACGACCCTCCAGGGACATTCCAGGCCTTTGGTACCAGACAGGGACTGCCAAGGCACCCAACCCTGTGGATGGAGGAGCTCCTGGGTCCCTGGGCTCTGCAGTGTGGAGGGCAAGCCAGGAGCCTGTTCCTGCACGGTTCCTCCCTGGCCTCTGCTTCAGTTCCTGCCTCCAGGTTTCTGCCCCGAGCATGTGCCCTTGACTTCCCTCCTCCACGGGCTGTAAAGTGTAAGCTAAGGTCAAGCCTTTTGGTCATGGTCTTGTCACAGCAAGGGCCCCCAGCGCTGGCTCCAGGTGCGTACCACACGCCCTGCTCTGCTGTGGATTCTTAGTGCTGAAATCCGAGGCCAGCAATCTGGATCTGCTTTCTTCT